GAGAATGGGGTAAAGACAGAAGGACCAGAGACAGAGACAAAGGTGCACAGCAACAACAGTAGCAACAACTACACTAATAGTAGTGACTGATGGTGATAATGATGATGAAGCAAGTTTAAACCAAATCCAGTCATTACTTTTCAAGATACCTCATGAAGTGTTGGTCAAGAGAAGTAGTTAAAAAAATCACAATCATAAAATCACTCAGGGGTCGTCAGTTTACTAAAGGGGTTGGGAACCACTGGTCAAGAGGACATTTTGGCCTGACAGAATCAAGAGCATTGGCGGTACTACTGTTGTGAGACATGATGGAGAATCGGGCTTTTAAGTTATAGAATGATTTGTTAAAAAAGTTGAATTGTTAATTTTTTTCTATTGTTAGTTTATATACTAAATATCAAAGTGCATCCTGTCAATGTGGCAACAATTACGAGCAGAATCTGTTAAGTGCTGGGGCGTCACTGTGAAATAAAGATGTGATATTATTAGAAGATGAACTGTAACATTGTTCCACCTGGTTGTCTGAAAGCCCAATCCTCCTCTGCGTCCAAATGAACTCCTCCTGCCCGGTCAGGGTCTGATGGGAAAAAAGCATGGCCGACTGCACCGCCTACCCCATCGAAGGGATAGCCATCACCATGGTAACCATGGAGGAAGTCTACCTGTAGGTCTGCTGCCTCTGGACTGCTCACCTAAAAACAGAGGGCAATAGAGGAGAGGCTTGTTGGGGATTAGGCATGGGTAGTTGTGCCCAGCTGCTGTCCCAACATGGCTTTCCACCAGCCTTCTAGGCAACTCTTACCCGGTCTCACTGCCAAGTCTCACTGCCAAGTCTCACTGCCAAGTCGTCAAATATTGTTGCTTGACTTCAAAATTGGACGCTATAAGTGCCCCTCTAGGTCATTTCTGGTTTCAGGTGACATTGTATAAAAAGTGAGAAAGTCCGCATATGAAACCAAAAGTAAGCAATTTCTTACATGAACATACTTAAGTTACATCAGGTACGTAACGTGACTTACAATCTTTTCCAAGCAGTTTTTGTGGCTAAACTAAACTGCAACACTTTGAGAATTTTAACCACACATTTTGAAAGTCTAATTGGACGTTGCGTATTTATTATTGCTAATTTGACCATGGATCACTGCATGTCCTGAAATGACACTGAGGGCTACCTACAGAGTCATATTTTGAAGCGTAAGGCCCCTGCTCAAGGGTAGTATTTGGCGATTTGGGAGTGAGAATGTGATGTATCTTCCAACTTTTCCATATGTCATTAATGCAGCATCAGACAAATGTACCAACCTCATGGAACTCCAGGGGTGTTGGCTCTGCCCACACTCTTAAAGCATAAAAGACCAATGAGCGAATGGTTTCCCGAGACAGACGGGAAGAGGAGGGGTACGAACGCAACCTAAGAATGTAACAGAGCGCATTTGTATAAGAGAGAGTCCGAGGGAAAGACCAAGTTACAGATGACTTGAGGCAAATAAATGTGGGTCTGTAAAGTTCACATCCTAATTAGAAACAGAAATTACTCATGTTTGGTCCAGTTTACCAGACCATAATCTGGTGTAGATTATATAAAATAGAATCTTATCCGACCTCCAGTTAATGTTCCTGCGTGTCCACATGGAGATAGCCCTTCTCCTCCGCTTCCTCATGTTTCTCCCTTCCTGGTTGATTAGTAATCTGGATGGTTCGTCTTGGTCAGGAAGGGAGCAGCGCGGATTGTTCATCAGTGCCATTGTCTCCTCATCTGAACACACCAAAGCACAGAGGAACCAGAGGAAACCCAAGGAGTCACATATAGAATACCAGATTCGAGAAGGAGTAGCCTAAACATTGGTTTGTTGAGTTTTACAGCAATCCTCACCTACAACCCCAGTGTCTTTGAGGCCTCCAAACCTCTGCATGGCCCTCACAGCATCAGTGACAGCTGTCCAGGCCTGTAACTGACCAGTGGAGGGGTCTGAGGTTGGGAGGTAGCCATACTTCATCAGCCAATCCTATGAGGAAAGAAGAGCAGATAGTCAGAGATAGAGCAGATAGTGGAGTAAATACAGTTGGCAACCATGACAAAATACATGCTGAAATGCAAAATCTTCATACTGAACCAATGTGTTTGTTTTGGTTATGTTTAGGTTACTCTTTGATGTAAGTCTTTGATGCTGGAAGCTTGTATTGTCTCAGCCAGTCAAGCACTTCAGATTCATAACATCATCATCATGTGAGTTGGACTGAGACCCAAACTCAAAGTCCAGGCTCAATGTCCCATATAATAGTCACCCTACTGTACATCTTGCATCCCTCCAGCGAGTGATAATTAGCAGACAGCAGGTACATACATACTGTGGTATGTAAATTGATGGCTATCATTCAGTATATATTTGCTTATCTATGAACTCAAACTATACTGCAGTAATGTTAAAGTGTTTGTTTAACCAACCATCATTCATTTAGGGGTTGAAGGGTTATTATGACTGATGATGAAAATAGAATTGTGTAATACTGTATGCCGTTAAACATTTCTGAGATGGTTATCGTACCGTGAAAATCTCATACCATTGCATCCCTAGTGTTTATGTATGTCTTCTTCAAATGAGCTCATATACACATGTTCATTCACAGATCACTCTAACTGATGTATTTAAAAAATTTGCATTCCCTTCTTCCTGCCTTCCTTATAAATGTTCATGCTGTTTATTTTACCACCAGCTGGGTGCTCTCATCTTCAGTGGGTGTCACCGGTGCAGAGGAGGGTGTGGGAGTTACGTCAGCAGTGGATGCTGTTTGCATCCATCCAGTGCTCAGGCACAGAAAAATAAGACACATCTTCATCTTGTCTGCATGTTTTATGCAAAATATTCACTTGAGAGAAATCTTCAATGATGTAAATCCATCGGTGTCAGAGAGGATATTCGGACCCTGGAGTGGCAACAAAAAATGCAATGAAAATTGAAATTTGGAAACAGCAAAGAAAAAAAAAAAGCAGAAAAAAAAGAAGCAGAAAGTATTGACAGAAATACAAAAAATACTGTTATAACAATTTTGCTATTTTAATTCAATTTGGTAAGCTTATGAAACAGTTCGTACATTCATAATAATCAAATACACAAACAGGGTTGGCACTGTGTGAAATATATCCACTGTTATTGCTTTAATACTGTTCTGTCTTGGTAAAAGTAAAAATATTAGTCCAACCTTTTTCAGCAGTCGCACATACAATGCAGAAACAGCCCTTCTAGAAGCTCATTCACCCAGTGTTAGAAAAGCCCATTGAAGAGAAACTAACTCATTAATTCACATTCAGAGACCAATGCACAGCATCAGGAGCAATTTCAGCTTCAGTATCTTGCTCAAGGATACTTCGACATGCAGCAGGGGCTGGGAATTGAACCAACGTCCTTCAAATTAGTGGAAGACCTGCTCTACATCTGAGCTAAATACTCTTAAATATAATACAGTTTTCCTATGTTGATTGCTTGGCTAGAATTCTTAGAAGTAGCATAACAATCTAAGGCACTGGAAGACTGTAATGGAACTTAAAACTAGAAACTAGAATGTAAGCAAGTAGTGCTTCTTAAAAGCTATGAAATCTCAGTTCTTTAAGATAGATTTGATTAAAATAAGCATTTTGGTCACTTTATTGAGCTGAATTTAAGAATTTCCACCATATTTTTTGGTTTGTTTTACCATTTTTTAAATAAAAAAAACAATGAAAAACTAAACAGCTGCTTCATTCCCAACACTGGGACAAAACTACTCTCTCTTAAACTGAGAAGTGGTACGAGTAGTCTTCCTCTTAAAACCAGGAAAATAATCCTCTGGGATATTATGCAAACCATTGTTGGAACTGGTTACTGGTTCAATTGAGCTCAATATTAGCTGTAATATCTTATTAAGACACTGTTAGATATATTATCTTCTTAAAACCAGGTTACTTTTCTAATGCAACACATTGACTCGACAAGATTGCTTTTCTTTTTAGACAAAAAATAAAACTCATTTCCCAGAAACAAGGCTTTCTAACTGTCTTGAGATGCACTGTGGTTGTGGTACCAGCTGTTGTTAATTTAAGCCTGAAATTGATATGGGTTGTTCAGAAGTTTCTATATTTATATTTATAACGATTTACAGAAGAGCTTCAGAATTTAGCCTCAAAGCAAGAATAAGGGAACTATTACAATTATTTTATATATAAATATAATTTTAAAAAACAGTTGCTATTTATTGTTTGTTAGAACATGGATATTGAAGCGCTTTACTGTGCAGTTGCTATATTTATGAGAACAGATATTGACACATTTGATTCTAAGGATACTCGTACTCTTACATCGTCTCTATTCATTTCAGCCAGGTACTCGCTCAACCCTTGTAAATACATTATATCCTACCTGTTAAACATTGCAATGTTATTATTATCATTACTAATGCGTTAACATGCTGACACAAGCATTATAAGAGTTGCTTATAGTTGCCTAGACAAACTGGTTTTAGGTAAACTCAACCAAATCTTAACCACAGAGATGGAAGGTCTAAGAACACCATTGAACGCTCTCTTAAGACATTAACATCCCTCCATCACATATAAAAATGCAGAGGATGCTCTTTTTAGTAGGTTCTCCAGTGTCTTCACTAACATTGGAGAAGAAAGAAGGCACTAACATGTAATAATAAATGCCTCACCTGCTTTGGCTTTTTATGCTTAAATTATTCCTGGTCAATGACTTAATTCTCTCGCTGCACAATCGGGAAAAACACTGTGACATCCAATGTCACGACAGCATGAATGAGTTAAAGGAGTCAGTGAATGAAGTTGACGGGAAACATCCATACTGTATTCCCACTGGGGAGATGATATACCAGATGCAATCAGAAGATGGAGGAAAATTACCATAAAACACAGAGGGGAGGGCACCTTAACTGCTGTACAGGACAGTGGTAGATGTGAGTGTGTGTGTCTGTGTCAGAAGATGCTTCATTTAATTAAGTTAGAGGGTATACCATTTCAGTTAAAGCATGGGGGGCAGAGAAGAAAGGATGAATGGAGGAGGAGAATAGTGTTAAAGTAATGAGATTAAAGCAGCAAAAAGAGGAGAGGGCAAACGCCTGTTAAGAACCAACAAACATTATCTCTTAAATCAAAGGTCATATTAACCTAATATTGTGAAATACATTTTTAGATTATACCATATTTCTTTAGTTAAAAACTAGCATAAACAGATTTTTTATCATAATACACACCTAGGTTGTCTAGTTGGCCATGACCCCGTACTAATTGTTCGTGAGCTTCTGTCACTTACAACTTTTTTGGTTTTTGAGATGTATTATAGTAACCCTTTTTGAAAGTTAAAGGTCCAGTTTTTAGAATTTGGTGGCATGGTATAGTTGCAGATATCAATAAACTGAATACCCCTCGCCTCAACCTTCCCTTAGAAGCACAAAGGAGAAACTACTGTGACCAACTGAACTCGCAAAAAATGCAAATGTTTCTGACGACTTGACAAATTCAAGTCCAATATTCACTCATCTTTTAGCTCTGTTTTTGGTCTCCACCAACCCCTGAGAAAACATCTGACTGTTAGCTGTTCCATTTTTTTCACCACCTAGCCACTAACTTTGTCTGTCTGCTGTTTAGTGCTAGTAGCATATTGTCAGTTTATCAGCTTGAGAGCAAAACAGTAAAGTTGTGGGCCATAAAACCAGAACAATCAGCTGAAAGAAGCTAAAATGTTCTCCATATCCTCTGTGGACTCATCACCATAAAAAACCCCTTTCACATTACACACAGTCAGAATATGGTTTAGTGCTGCTTTAAAAATTAGTTACAGATAAAGAAATTAAAACAAAAATGTTTGTGACATTGTCTAATGTTGGCGTGTACTTTCTTTTTCCAATTTGTGACTTTGCATCATTTCACTTTTTTTGTGTGTGTTTTCCTTTTGGACTTCCCATTAATGAAAATGAAAATTGTAGAAATAATTTTCCAGAAAGTTCCCAAATGTATTATTATTTTCATTTTTATTTTTTAGTAGACATGATTTGCAGCTTTTTTTTTATAGACACATGTTAACCAGAGTGAACTGAGAATGCACTCAGTCAGTGTTTAGAAAATGTATTTCAACTGTGATAAAGATTAGAAATCGCACATTCATGGCTGCATCTTGAGGACACTGCAGACCTCATGAGATCCCAACCTTCATAGGTTGATTCCTGAATTTTCTTTACATCTTAAAATTTTACTAGTTTCAGGGCAAGAGAATTCAATTAAAATGACTCAGAATTTCCACACCAGAATTAAAATCTTGGCAGCTAGCTCAGCTAAATCTAAAGGATTTTCATGCAAAGTGAAATGTGCCGACAATATAATTTAACAATTAACTGAATTATTTTCAACTTATTTTTGGTAAAATTAGGGGGTGTCTAAAATCCTTGCTGCCCTGCACAGATTCTGAAACTTGAACTGAATAGCTATACAGTCACTGTATCACTGATCACAGCTGTACAGTAATTCTCATTATAGGTCTTGACACATTCAATATTGTTACCATCTGGAACTGGCCTCCAACATCTAACACCTTTCACTGCAACTTAAGATAAACCCACATAAAATGCCAAACACTCCAACTCCAGATCCAGCAGACAAACTGCAACCTTCAGACGAGTTAAAACTTCAGCGCAAACAAAACAGAAAGATGTTTTCATGCTTACCTTCCTCCTCCTCCTCCTTTGCATCCGTCCTCACTCTCTCTTTATCTGCCACTATGGGAACAGATGGGTCCTTTCTCTGCTCTTGCTTCTTCCCCTCAAAGCCTAGCTCCTAACCCCCGCCCCCCACCCACCCTCTACCCCACCCACCGCCAATGACAAATGTAGCTTGCATGTTTGCAGAAAAAGCCTCTTTTCTTTCACTTAAGAAGATCTTGACTCCCGATCTTTGCTCTTCGGGGCCTGTCTGTCCCGTCGCCTCTGTCGGCTCCAGGTTCCGACCAATATCTAACACATAAATGAGAGCAAAATGCTGTCATTTCATGTAATTCCTCTGCCTCTAAAATTAAAACAATTAGTGCCAGCGCAGCAAACGGCCTCTGATCTAGAATCCTGCGCTTACCGGGAGGATTATGAGTGTCACACAGCAAAGATGTGTTTAGATTTGTGTGTGTGTGTGTGTTGCATGTGTACAACATCTGCATGTTCATGTGTGTTTTCTCTTATGATGCATTAACATTTTACGCACAATCCTCTAACGCCAGGATTAAAACTAAAATGAAGTACGAACAGATTGATGTGCTCTCTCTCTCTCTCTCTCGCTCTTTCTCTCTCTCTCCATCAGTGTTTATTTTTTCATGTTCTTTCTTTGTGTTTAAGCCAGTGGACCAAGTGTTAAAGGGTCAGCACAGCCAGTATTCTGACCACTTTCTAAGCAACTAAGAGCATTCTCTCAATAGAGACATTCACCCAAGTTAAAAAGCAAGTGGAATCACCTGTTGGAAAGATTGACATGAGCATAGTATGAGTGTATGTTGCACTAGTTCATATTTTCCATGTTGCTGTAGGCTGATTCATGTCAATACTGATATTCTTTCTTGAGTTGTGGCGCAAGCGTCCCACGGGGATCATTAAGTTCCATCTAATCTGCTCTTTGTCTGCAGAGGGACAATGGCTGATAGTAAAAACACATGTAGCGCCGATGTGATGTTTTTGCATGAAACCTTATTCCTCTGATCTGTTTCTGTAGCAGGACGGGCGGATCGAGTGACTGACTCTTCAACAAGCTGTTCACATGCTAAAACTGTTATTCCTCTGTGTAGATTTACTTAATTTGTCACAGGCATTCTGACAGCATTTTTGAGCTTGCTGCTTTTACCTTTAGAGCCCAAACACACAAACATTTATGATTAATTTAAATGGAATCACAGCAGATCACTGCAGTGGGGTTTCCATTATTCCATACATAGATGTGTTAAAGAGAACCAGATAGATGGTAAATGGACTGGTTGTAGAGGGTGCTCCGTTCATTGCTATGGAAGCTGGAAGCCAAAACAGTTAGACAAATTACCCCAACCATGTGCTCCCGCATTGAGGGGCCCATAGAGCAAGCACACTAGCAACTTCCACTGGCTGAGCTGCTAACTTCTGGTTCAGCCCTCCACTAACTCAAATAGGGATAAATGATTTAATCGTGCAGCTCTCCTATACCCTTTTTCCACCGACGCAAAACCTAGTGCTTGTTTTATGCTGGTGCTAGTGCTGGTTCAGAGTTGGTTCAACTTGAGAACCTTCTAAGAACCGGGTTGCAAGACAGCCGTGTCACTGAGTCACTGTATACATCTCCACTGTTAGCTACTGTCACCAAGGTTACGCTGGCTAGCTAACATTACGCAAGCTGGTGTGCTACTAATTTGTCACATCAATGTTACACAAACATTAAAAAGCAAAACATTGATTAAATTAGCAGCTGTATTTGCCCGTGTTAGCTGACCAACAGCTAGCTAGCTAGCTCAGTGTTACATTCGTATTCTATGTGCTAAACAGACAATAAATAGGCTACCGTACATAGCTGCTGGCCACAAGACACCCCAGTCCCTTCTGTAAGAGGGTTCTTGGCTCTAGACCCTCAAAGTGTTGGTTCCACGCTGGATTCCTGTCAAAATGCAAAGAACAGGTTCAAGATTAGGCCCCGGCTCTGAACCATCCTTCAAACTACCTTAGGGTAACTAGACTTTCAAAATGTTACTGGACTGAATGGATCAAATTCTGACAGTGAAATCAATCATTTTGCGGTGGTTGTGATGCTAAAAAAAAATGTGTCCACCAATTGTACAGCCACTTCTTTCACAGTGTAAGCTTATGGGAAAAAGTATTTTTGGGCCAGTGTGCATCACATGATGGACACCACTGCTGTCATTAAACGATTGGGCCACTTTGAAGCCCAGTGCTTTACCTGTGGGCTTGTGTTTTAGGTAGCTACAACAAACTTTCATTTTGTGTTGTTTCGGGGCGGCCCCTGTGCACAAAAGTGGTAGCAGTGGTACCGCCTTCATTTACTGATTTCAAGGGGAATACAACTGAATCCAAACTACACAGAAATGGCCAGTTTTCTCACTGATGGTCATATAGAGGCATCCCTGTTAAATTGAGACTGTTCAATAACCAGTTTAAAAACTTCTTGTAGTATGTTTAAATACCATTTACCATTATTTACACATTTAAAACACAATGATATATAGATTTTGATATAGCCATATGTAGAAACAGATGTATGAAACAGTCAGTCTCAGTCCTTTCTCCTTTTATTTAGTATATGATTACATGAAAACAAGTTTCTGGGGTAAACGGAGATTAAACGTTTCCTCTGTCACCGTGACAACAGGCTACTTCCTCATGAATGCAGCTGCTGGGACAGGTCAAAGGTCAATTGGGGGGGTAATGGTTGATGGATGCTGGGTGGGTGGCTTGGGTGGGGATCGTGGTAAATACATGAATGGAGCTGTGTGTCTGGGACTGTGTGGGTCTCATCCCGCTGTTGTCCATAGCAACAAAAATGCTCTTTTTGGACTGCGTGGTGTCTCTGGTAAGTCCTGCACCCATAGGATCCCTCTGGACACAGCTGCATTTCAGTTAGACTGATAAAGGCCTCTAAAGGCCAGTGAAGATATTTGGAGGTTGAACATTTTGTTCCGATATTTTAAGTTTGCAATTATTTATGCTAAAATTTACCCCAAAAAATAAAAAATAAAAAATAGATAAACAGTGATAATTCTATTTTGGGTGGAAATGTCTCCAAGACTGATTGGATATCTGATGGTGGAGGATCTGTGGAGCCATTAGCCTGAGGCTAACAGGCTAGTACACTGTATAAAAATGTTATTGACAATGGCTCTCCCTGACGTTGGTCTGACGTAGCTGACCTGTGGTGGCATGGTGATCAGATGGTGGTAAACCGCCAGAGGAGCTCTGGGTGGAGGAGAGGAGAGCTCCACAAAGAGAGCAGTGTTAAACTGTGATTACTGATGTGGCTGTCAGAGCTGAGAGGACAGTGATGATATGGTCTCATTTATAATTACTCAATTCTCAGCTCAGAATAGCTTAAAATGGAATTTGGTCAGAAGACCTTATTATTAAACCCCATCTTTATCAGTCATTTAAAGGGAGAGTTCACCCCGAAATCTAAAACACATAATCTTTTTCTTACCTGTAGTTCTGTTTATCCATCTAAACTGTTTTGCTATTTCTGAGTTTTGGAGATAACGGCCTTCTCTCTAATATAATGGAACCAGATGAAAGAAAACAGTTCCTAGATGAAACTGCTCACAACAAAGATGGCCAACATTGCCACTCATGCATTAGAAACATGTCTACCTATTTCAGAAAACACCATTAACTCACTGAGCCTGCGTTGAAGATAACGAACCACGTCTGTCAAAGTACTCTTCTCCCCTCCTGACATCACCGTCAGCAGAGGTGGCTGGTGGATGATGTAGTACTGGAATAATAATAATACAGCATGTGTTTCAGGAGTCGTTTGGCTACAGTAACACTCACTCCTACTGATTTTCCATCACCTATTTCCTGTAGCGCTGACAATGGTGATGAATAGTACAGACAGTTTTTTGGCAACACATTTTGCACCAAATTCTACAACTGAATTTTAAGGTGGAAGAATAATTCACATCCTTTAATAGTAGAAACACTATATAAAATAATAAAATAGTAAAAATAAATAAAATACTTTATTATAAATGAAGGTACTGCATTCAAGTTGATAAAAAGTAAGTAAGTATCATTGGCTAATTATAATGAAAACATCAAAAGTATACTTATTATGCAGGATGGTAAATTTTCCATGTTATATTGCTAAATATTAGCAATTGTAATGTTGTACTTGGTCAATGTAACGTCAGTTACAGTATATACTACTGTATATTTGGTTTCAATCTGATACCAAGTGATACAGGACCACAACTGCTGATATCAATACTTTTTATTATTAAAGCTGAAGTAGGTCATTTTTATAAAAACAAGTTTTTGTCAAATTTGCCGAAACTTTCACTATATCCTGACAGTAGCAGCAGCAAACATGAGACAGATAATCTGTGTAAAAATCTAGTTCCTCTGGCTCCTACTAGTGCTCCTAATGGCATTTGCAAGAATCTAGCGGGCGTAAACGAGAACAACCAATCTGTAGCAATACATATTTTAAACAAAGCTTAATCTGCAAAGTAACCACTAATATCAGATATCAGTCAGATAAATATTTTTTTTTTTTCATCTGAAAATCTTCGCTGAAATGTAGTAGAGGCAGAAAGAGTAACACTTTAAACATGAAGTGAAAAGACATATTCGACACAGTACTTAAAATGATCTTAAAAATACCTGCTATATGTAGTATTTATAGTTTTATAGAGCATCTTTGGTATTTGGAATTGTGTCTGAGCTTCCTTTTGTTGTAATTTACTGTGTTTTAACCATTTTTTAAACAGCTAAAATCGTTATATCAGTTTACCTTTACCTTCATTTAACTGTTTACCGTTACCTTTCTCCGCTTTTATTTTGAAGGTTAAACTACCGGTGTCCTTCCTAAACATGGATGCCGGTGAGTCTAGCGCACCCCTCTAACTAGTTAGACGCTGAGTAGGACCGTATGAGACCAACAAGATTATTTCAAACTAGGTCCTTGTTTTGTCTCCTGGGGGTAAAAATCCCAGAAAAGCAGCCATTTTCCTGTTTTTCCAGTAGGATTTACTGTTTGCATAGATAACTGTTGTCCACGGTGGACAATGCATCTAACGTTTACGGATCAGATATCTACCGTAAAGGTCGTTTGGTTGGTGGTGGATAGGGGATAGTGAAAAGTCTGTTCCCGCTGGGATTGTATTTAACGATTCGGCCAAAAGAGTGGAGATGCCGGGGATTGAAC